GAGTGTACACCCAGGAGTGGAAATGCTAGGCCGTAGGCTAGGTGTACACTGAGTTTTAGTAAATATTGCCAGTTTTCCAAAGTGGTTGCACCACTTTACACTCCACCAGCAATGTATAAATCCCCAGTCACCCTGCATCTTCACTGATATTTGGTGTTGCCAGCTTTTAAAATTTTAACCCTACTTGATCTGACTGAGGTTTTTAAAAGAGCATCCTGGCTGTAAGGTGGAACTCAACTGGTAGCAGGTAGGGGTACATTGGAGAGAGGAAGCTGAGAGACCAGGTAGGAGGCTACTGTAGGCATCCAACGACGATATGAAGATGGTTTGGACTAGGGTGCTCACGGAGTCATAGAGAAGTGGATCAATCAGGATATGCTATGGAATTGTAGCTGACAGGCCTGGCTAATGAGGAGTGAGGGACAGGAAAAAGAGACATCAAGGCTGGGTCCTAGACTTTTACCTTGAAAACCTGGGTGTATGAGAGGACCACTTTCTCCCATCCCAGTACTAACCAGACCCAACCCTGCTTAGCTTCCGAGATCAGACGAGACCAGGCGCATTCAGGCTGGTATGGCTGCAGACAAGACCATTTTCTGAGATACAGAAGATTGAGGGAGAAACAGATGAGGGACAAGGGAAAATCAAGGACTCATGTGCAGCAATTTGAGTACATGCTGTCTCCTGAAGCTTAGGCTATCATTAGAGCCTAACACTAGGCTCTGCCTGCCCCATATCTTAGTAGAACTGGTAAATATTGGTTATGCAAATAGTTCATCTGTGTGCAGTGGACAGACCTGGGTTAGGGTACCAGTTCTGCCTTCTCACTAACCCTGTAACTTGAACCTTAGGCTGGGACTCCATCTTCTATCTTACAGAGTTAGAATTAAGCGTGATCACATATTTATGCCACCCGGGACATGAAAGAACTACAACATCCACTCTTCCGAGCTCCAGGCACATTTCCAAAGTCACTCCAGAACAGCGAGGCCTGGCAGCACAGGGAGGCCGTCCCCACTCCTTGCCCTCATCCCTTCCCAAGCCTCGAAGAAACAGAATGAAGCACAGCAGGCAGGTTGATTCATAGACTTTATCTGCTTTTTCTCCACCCAGCAGTTTCTGCAATGACAACGGAGCCGGTACAACACACGGTTCACTCTGTTAAAGCTGCGAGGCATGGTGTGGGGACTGGGGGCTCCTGGGAGACAGCAGGGCAGGCATCAAGGCTAGGGCAGAGCAGCAGCCAAGACGGGGCCAGTGGGTCCCACTGCTCTAGGAGGGAGCTGCAGTGAAAAGGCGGCTGAGGCGGGTGGAGGAAGGGCGGGAAGTCAGGGGCTGCAGGGAGAGGGGAGCGCATCAGCAGTTGCAGGGAGGCGGCAGGGAGCAGGAGGAGGGCCACTGTCACAGGAAGGGCTGGAAGGGGTGGGACACAGCTCCTCTGTATGTCCACAGACATTTTTTGCAGCAGGAACAAGACAGACCACTGTATAAAAGGGACTGTACAACATAACCTATGATACAATGTTTACATATGATACAAGGCTCTTTCCCTCTTTGAGTTTTAAAAAATAAATTTACAATTCCAGAGCTTTGGGTAAAAAATATATACACCCTCAGAGCAAGAGCAGCAGCAGCTGCTGCCTCTTCAAAAGGGAAAGAGGTGGTGCCAGAAAGGAGGGTGAGGCTGCGCCAGGAAACCTCACCCAGTAGCTGCCAGGAGACCCTGCACCCCTTGGCCCTGCAGGCCCATGATAGGAGAGGGAGTGTGGACAGAAAGGTAACAGTGGCCTTGCCAGGGGTCAGTGTCACCTTTACAGTCTCCCCTCTCCCCCACTTTTTTCTTGAGCGGCTGCCTGCCCCCAGGTACAGGGATTCACCCCACCCCAGCTCTAAGGAGAGGACAAAGGAGAAGTCAAGACAGGGAAAGGGACAGAGACCACGTTGTTGTTGGTGTCAGACACAAGAGCCAGAAGGGGGCTGATGACTCC